AGCTCTTCTCGCGTCTCCTTTTTTGAACTACTATCCCCGCCAAATTATAAGGCAGATGATTCTTGTTTCGTGAATATATCTTGAGAACAAAAATAGATAAAACTCAGTGGTTCCACGTTTTCGAAACTGCACACTCAAAACCATATTTTATCAAGCCAAATCTATTCTCTGGGCAAACTCTACAAAACTGGTTTTTAAGATGATCTTTGGAAAAGCATTTCGTGGTCTAAACTACCTCTCTACAAACTTCGGGACCTTTCCGTATCAGTGTTAGCCAAAACTGTCGTTCTTTATAAAATCGGAACTAAGCGATCTCCTTACAGTCGGTAATTATGTCTTGAGATCTTCACATTTGCTATAAAAGCAGTTTGGAAGCTTTCAAACACGCTTTTATAGATCTTCAGATTCGCTCTTTTAACGTGAGCCGGGCTTTTCCCAACGTGGTCAATACAAACAAAAGTTTGCACAAGGATCGAAAAGGTGCATTTCACACCCGTTTGAATCTGCCTGATCGAAAGTTGGCTTAGATGTTTTACAAACGTTGAAATGTAATATTCTTGCTCAGAATTGACCGTTCTTTCGGATGAGATAGATCTTGAATTTTGCAACAAACATCGATTTAATGATGGTACAGAGCTCAAAGCTTTGCCTTCAACTTTTTGCAAAATACGCTTTGACTTAACGATACAGTAATGTTGCAATGCAATGGCATGTATAGTGTGTAACAAAACTGATCACACTCCCCTCATATATGATTATGGAGAAAAAGCGAACGAAATACAAAAACACATTTTTTTCGATATTTCTTTGTAATGCTTCTCACAAAAATTTCTCCTTTTTAGAAAGAAACATTTTCAAGCTTTAAAAGCTTAAGCACCGTTACACTGTTGCGTGGAGAATCGAATGAGCATGATTTGGAAAATAAAAATGCTTTCCTCGTCAAAATCAAATGTTTTGCGAGAAGCATTACAAAGCAATGTCGAAAAAAATCATTTTTTCCTATTTCGTTTACTTTTCTTCGCACTCCAGTTTAAAATTCTGAAGTACACATGAGTCAAAAGAGCAAGAAAAACAACACAAAATATGTTAAATTAAAACTAAAGTCTGCTGTGTAAGGTAAATAAAAATATATCATCGCATCACTTTTGTTGGACAAAGAAAGTTGTCCATTTCACTCTTCCCGGCCTCTACTCCAACTGCTTGACGATAACTGACAGCTTAATAATTTTTCTTGATTCATTGTTTTGAAAACACGGAAACTATCTGTCAAACTGTCTTACAATCTGCACAATATAAAATATTACTTCAAGCGTTTCATTGTTTAGAAAACATTTTGAATTCTCGAAGTTGTGTTTGCAATAGCTATAATACTTCTAGGTGTAATTCTATTTCTGAAACAGAATAATTGACGAGAAGTGAAATTGCGTTGTATGAAATGATGCATAAAATCATTTTTCAATGTGTCACGAAATAATGTTGAGGATAATGTATAAACATAGAAACTGAAAAGAAATAAAAAGTTACTATTCATTCTTAATCATCAGTTTTTGCCTGTGACAGCTAATAATTACCTTTTGGTATAATTTAAATACCAAACATATCGTGTTATTTGATTCGCAAAATTTAAATATATATTTTGTTCAGCTGTTAAATTTTGTCGAAGAAGTGAATAAGTATATACGAATACCCATGCTTAAAATAGAATATGAAAGTGTCATGTACTAATAATGCTAGTGGACCGACTCGCATTAATCAAATCGTTTAGTTCGGCAAATATTAAGGAAAAGAGAAGAAGCATATGAAATCAGCAATACCCCTCTTGGATGTTGTGCTACTAATTGGCTGTTATCAATTGCGAATCCTTATTCACACTATTTTCGTTGATTATTCAGAAGAAAAAGGGAAATATGGTAAAAAAGAAATTTCTGTTTCGATCAGCCTCAACACTTAGCTTAGTAGTTGAATAGAACTACTGAGTAAACAAGTAACTACGGATCGTTTTGCCATTGTGCAATAGCGAATAAAATACTGAACAAGATATTACGTCCATCTTCAAATCTAACATCTTATTTTCAATTCTATGTGTAGTCTTTTACTAGATGACATTTCCACTCACTTCAACTCTTTGTATTCAAACGTTGGATTTTAATTTTATTACAAAATTTTACTGTCTATAAAATAGTGCATTTTGATTAGGGATGCACCGAGACGGGGTACTCGATACCCGAAACTTTAGTCTCGAGTAGTCTCGAGTCTCGAAAGTTTCGGTCTCGAATAGTCTCGAGTCTCGAGACTTTAGTCTCGATTAGTCCCGAGTCTCGAAAGTTTCGGTCTCGAATAGTCTCGATACAAAAGTGCTGGTAGCAAAACTCTCCGAGACTTTTTCTAGACTATTTTTTTGTTCCGTATAGAAGATTTCTTTGGTGAAATATGTACTGGACGTAATGTCGAAAGACATTTTTCTGTAGTAGATATTTTGTATGGTAACTTTTTTGATACTTTTAATCATTAAAAGTATAAAGTTAAGCGTATAAAGTTAGGTAACTAAGCGTTACTTATTTTAGTTTTCCCAGAATAATTCAGTTAAAATGAAATAAAAGAGCATATCACTATCGTCGTAGTTATTCGGACTAGTACAGAATTGTTGAGGATTTTTCAGTACATTAACAATCCGGGTTTATATTGTATAGAAAATGCATTCGATTTTCTGAAGTATCGATTTTGTAGAGAGGAAAATATCTTTAAGAATTTTCTATAAAAATTTCTCAAGCTATTGCCTGATTTTCCATAAAATCGCCCAGTTTCTGAAAAATTAACAGGTTCCTAGAAATGCAGATCATTAATTGTAGCTACAAAGGGCACACCTCGAGTGTACTCCTTGCCTCTTTTGGGACTTTACGTAGAAATATTGTCAAGCATCAACTAAAATGACTAATCCTTCTTCACTCCAGAACTAATTGAAAGCTGAATTGAGCATCTTTTCATTGATTTGAAAATTAGGTGCTTGCTTAGGTGCTCGGATCGAACTAGATAAAATTGGCTGTCAGGTGCAAAATTTGTCAGTGAATCCAACAGCGGGGACCTTTTAATTTCATTTTGACTTGTGCTCTAGCGTGAACATATCCACGTGATTTTTACCTCAACTTTAGTTTTCTCATTCGCGCCTTTTTTTTAACCAATGAGAGTTTGTTGAGAAATAAGACGTAGTTGTGATCACATCGCGACAACAGTGACTTATTAGTGATCACGGTACGAGTCGCACGATTTGAGCTCGATCACGGGCCACGTTCACGACGTGAATGAAGCAGGAAAGTGGACTGGGGTCTGGCTATCAAGGTTCCAGTTTCCATATCGTTACATTACGAGCATATTGGACGCTATTCAGATCAGAAAAATGAACACTTTCAGTTTTTTGCTAAATGTCGAAATGTATGCCCATTATGTGGCGGCCACCAGGATCGAAATTTTTGATTCCATACTAGTATACTCTCCTTTTTGTGCAACGGGCCGAGCGCATAGAACTTTGCGGTGATTGTATAAAGTAGGTTAAGTGAAAGTGCTAAACTTGCTCTTGTGTACAAGTCCGCCGGCACGGAAAATGTTATCTAGATCCGCCACTGGGATATCCGACCATATAGCATTATAGATTCTTTGTTAAACAACTATGTCCAAGAAGGAAAAAAATTCGAAGTTATTTTAAGTGTGAAAGTGTTCGCACTTATATTTAATATCTTTTTATATTTATATTTATATTTCCATTTTTATTTCTATTTCTATTTTTTTACATAAGACTGTAAAACAAAACAGTGATTCAAGAATTTCTAAGGTCCTTGTACAAGAAGTTATGAAAATACAGCTGTCGTAAAAACAGCCCCAAAAATCGATTTTGCAGCTGTCTGAAAAACGTGTCTAAAACACTGAAGACAAGCAGGCGAAAATTCAACAAGTATACCAGTTTGTAGAAAATTGTTTGTTCTACAAGATGTGATACCAATGGCGCTTAACGGCATCAACAGAAGCGTTGCTGTATTTAAGGCGTTGCTGTAAACTTAAGTTTCTGTGTACATACTTTAAAAACGTATAGAACTGAGGTAAATGTGCAATACTAGAAAGAATAATGAGAGACAAATAAAAAGAAAAGTGACTATCGAAAATTGAAATCGATAAATTCCATTCGTGTCCATCCACTTACTTGTTCATCATAAACTTAACAGTAAGCAACGTCGTTCTGTGCATGTGTACCTTTTATTGATATTACTGTTGTTGTCATTAGTCTTCGTTTGGACCGTAGTGTTGCCATTGACGAACAGTCCAGGTTCGTAACAAGGCATCACAGTTAAGTTAAACGGTGCAGTTTGTGGAAATAAATTTATAATTTGGTATTTAAATTACACTAAAAGGTAATTATTAGCTTTCACACGCAAAAACTGACGATTAGAAATGAATAATATGTTTTTAGTTCAGTTTTCCAGTTTTTATACATTATGATTATCATTATTTCGTGATACATTCCAAAATGATTTTATGGATCATTTCGTACAACGCAAGTTTAATTATTTTATGCCATTAAGAAATGAAAAGCTATAGCTTAGAACTATTACTTCAGTCTGATAGAGCAGAAAATTCTGCATCATTTGATCGTAAAATAAGTTACCAAAACGATGAACATAAATCAAAATATCACAGCGAAAGCAAATTAAATGTTACTGCGGTGATGTTCAAAACGAGAGCTTTTCTGTATCCATCAATTCGAATTTTACGCCTTTTTGTAGAAAATCAATTTCTTTCTGATCTTTTGAGTTAAGTGCAAAGCTCTTAGTGCAAGTGGAAGCGAGTGTGATAAGCGGTGTACGAAAGTGATTAGTTTCCAATGGGCCATCTGTTGGATTTTCAAGAACATTATAGAAACAATAGACGCAGGAAATAGTTTTTGAATATACAATCGACACACACAATATTTCGATTCTACACTAAGGGTAATAAAAACAAACAGCAGTCGTATGAATACGATAGAAATAATCTCACTTGTTTCCAAACAACTGAGTTTATATATTCCATTGTTTTTATTAACATTTGGTAATTTTGGTTGTTTATTTAACTTACGTGTATTTACAAATAAAAAGTTGACAACAAAACCATGTTCCATTTATTTTCTATCGGCGGCTGTAACGGATTTTTTTGTTCTTAATTTTAACCTTTTAACACGATGGCTACAAGAACAATTTAATATTTCTCCACAAAGCTACAATCAAATCTACTGTAAATTTCGAAGTTATCTTATTGTTCTATTGCCAATGTTAAGTACAAGTTTCGTCGTATTGGCATCATTTGATCGATTCGCGTAAGTAGAGTTCCAGATTCCGAGAGAGTTTCCAGGTGTGTCTTTTTTGCGAAAAGATTCATTCTTGTCATCATAACGCTTTTTGTTATAAAAAGCTATCAGTTCGGAACCTTTTGAAGGCGCGACGTATATAGTCTGTCCGACCTCACAACTTGGGGTTGTTTGACGCCACTCTCTGTGAACCTGCTCTGGTGACATTCCTGCTTCATGTCTCGGAGAAGAACATAGGCTCATCTTTCCTTAATTTGGCAAGATATTTACGATTTTTCACTTATCGAAAATATTATTTCAAATATTATTTTCTATGGGTAGCACTTGTAAGACTTCTATAGAGCTGATTTCACATCAAGAGTTGAATTCACTCTTGCAGGGATCCTTTGCCCTGTGATCAAAATCAGTAGTCCACAGATTATGCAGCAAAATAATTTTATCCAGTTGTATATCATTTCTGTTTTTGTTCAGAGCAAGTACAATGAGTAATCGAATACGAAAAATGAGTAATATTAAAACAGTTAAGAGTGAATTATTAATGACAACATTGTTTTGGGTTATTGTTTGTTTACATATATTAATCTTTTATAGTGTTCAATATAATAGCATAACATCCACCTATTATTGTGATAGTGAACTGGGAAACTATGGATTATTTAACTCTATATTTACTGTTTTATTTATCGGATTATTACCAGTTATACTCATGTCAACATTTGGTGCATTAACAATACGTAATACAAGAATCTCGCGTCAGCGGGCTAGAAGTCGTCAACAGATAAATCAGCAAATAAGAAGAAAAGATCGGCAATTAATTCTGATGTTATTATTCCAAATTCTTTCGAGTGTTATTTGTTCATTACGTAATTTACCATTTTGCTTTTGTTGTTGTCTCCCTAATGGAAAACAATTTGTTGATTCTGATAAGAATCGTATGGATTTCTTACGAATTGCTTAGACAGGACGCTGCACGAAAGTGATAAGAAATCCATTAGTTCTAGTAAAAGGTTTATAAGAATTTTATACGATATTCATAAAAAGTCATGAGAAGTTTTCGAAAAATCGTTTAATCATTTATTAACCAGATTTTTGATAGTAATGTCTGTTTCAAGGAGCGCTTCATATTCTGATTACCTTGAAACCTTAATAAAACGTTGTTTTGGCGTTCCCCCAAGAAAAGTAGTAGTAGTATTCTATCGAGCGTCTAATATCCCTGTTGGTCGAGTCTAAGACGGGCTTGAGAGTACCCCTCCCACCTTTTGAGGCTTTCCGTAGAAATATTGTCAAGCATAAACGAAAAATCAACGAGCCTCCTTCATTCCAGAACTAATTGAAAACTCAATTGAGCATCTTTTCATTTGTATAGTATAGTTTTCCAGTTTTTATACATTATGATTATCATTATTTCGTGATACATTCCAAAATGATTTTATGGATCATTTCGTACAACGCAAGTTTAATTATTTTATGCCATTAAGAAATGAAAAGCTATAGCT